TGATTTATGTTAAGTTCTTATTTAAGTACAAATTAAATGATAATGGTTTATTTGAATATAAATTAAAATTTAAGCGTTTATTTAGATGTAAATTAAAGAGTAAGGATTTATTTGAGTGCAATAAAAGTATAGATGTTTATCTAAATAAAATGGTAAAGTTCATTGGTTATTTTTTACTTTAACCTTTTAACAAAAACCACATTGTTAATCTTAAAAACATAATTTTTGTTGAAATTTAAAAATAATTTATTTAACATATTTTCAATAAAGATCATATTTTTTATCTTAAAACATTGTCTTTATTAAATTTTGAAAAATAAAATTTTTCATATTTTCAATAATGATCACATTTTTATATTAAAACTTTGTCTTTATTGATTTCTAAAATTTTTTAGCCTATTTTGAACAAAAATCTAGCTTTTATATTTAAAACACAATCTTTTTTGAACTTTGAAAATTAAATAAAAAATAAAATAATATATAAAATTATTATATTTCTAAGGTAAATAATATTGTCTATATATTTTAAAAATGCAATTAACTAAGAGTAAATAAGTTAAAATTTTACTTTCTCTTCAAACTTTAAAATAACTTAGGAAGAGTAAAGTTTTTTTTTTTATTTCCCTTACTTTCTTTTTTTTTTTTGACACTATTGACATTTTAAGATTCTTGAAATGAAAGAAAGTTTTTGAACCAAACCAAAAAAATCAGATAATGAAAAGTTGGAATCCAAAAAAAAAAAGTTAAAATTAGTGAAATCAAACGTATTAAAAAAATTAATTAAAAATAGGATATGTGTCAAATTTTGAACTCCACTTATCAAATTAAAAAATTTCGTTAAAAATGTATCAAATAATTTTCATTAATTAAATCTCTCAAAAGTTTAGTTTAATAAAGTGGAATATATGAAAAAAAGATGAAATTGGTTTTATATAATGATAAGCATGAGTATGAATATTAGAAAGAGATAGTTTTGAAACTATTATTTTTAAAAAATTATAAAGTTAAGTATGTACACATTAAAGCTTCGCTTGGTAAATTGAAAATAACTTCCAAACGAAATATATTTTCCATGAAAATCTATTTTTAGAAAAAAAATATTTTTAATTGTTTAGAGAATTTTATAGAAAATATTTGTTTATGTTTGGATAACAATAGCAAAAAAAAAAAAACATTTTCTATCAACAGTCATCAATATTTTTTTAATGTTTTTAACCATTTTTTCATATATTTTTCACGAATATTACATATTTTAACAATAATCTTTTGTTAAAACATTTTATTATTTTATTAACAAATATTCATTAATATTTGCAATACGCATAAAAATTCATCCACTGAAAACTCAAACCCATTCATATTCATCAAAATTCAAACCAAAATCTAAACAAATTCATAAAAATTCATCATACCCATTTATAATTGATAAAAGCCTAATCAAAATCGTTAAAGACAAGCATGAGTAAGGCTTAACGTGAGGACTTTCATAAAAATTTCATCAAAACCCATGTAGCTTCAATGGGTTGTTTTTCCGAAAAAAATGGGTTGCTTAGTGACAACAAATGAAAAGGAAAAGTAAGATATATTCATGGTGATTGGTGATACAGGATGATGTAGATTGAAAGTAAAAAAGGAGATGAAGGAGAATAAAGATGGTGGATGCAGATTTTTTGGTTATGGAGGTTATGGTGTGGTTTTTGGGTACAAAAATTTTGTGAAAATTTGAATAAAGATTGAAGAATCAAAAACAAGATGAATTATTGTAGGAGGTCCATGGCTTTCACGGTGGGTTATGAAAAAAAAATGATTTGAAGGTAGATGAAACAGTTACGGAAGAAAGGATGGAGTTGAAGATGTTTGCGAGTTAGTTGAGGAAGATGGAAGCAAGGTAGTGTTTGGATGGAAGCAATTTCCGCCTCCCTTCACTAAAATTTGGGTTGATCGAAAATGATTTTCAGTTGACTATATTATTTTTTGCCTTTCAAATACAATTTCTGGAAGCTATTTTCATTGGTACCAAACGAACGGTGAATATAATTTTCGTATGTATAATTATATCATTTCTATGAAATAAGTATGTTACATATAAAATAAATAAATATTTTAAATATATTATTTAATTTAAATAAGTATATTTTTTATATTTTCATTTATTTATATTTGAAATTAATAATAATAGTATGAAATAAAATATATTTAACAAAATATATACTTTATTGAAATAACATAAAGCATAAGAATTAAAATCAATTTTAACATTTACATTAAAATTAATCAATAGTATAATTATATATTTTATTCTTTGTCATCATAAAAATTGATAATTGATTGATATTTATTATATTTGATTAAGTGCATATATTTGTATGAAATGCTTTTATTTTAATTTTCATTTTAATAAAAATATTTTAATCTTATTTTTGTACTTAGATTTTTAATTAAAATTTTGATGATATTTTATTGTTATTCTTTTTATTTTTGTGAAATTTTTACTTGATTTTGTGATTTTTTTTTAAACAAAATCCCAAGAGGTCTTAATTGGTTGCCAAATAACATCCAGTTAAGACCTTTAATTGAGGCCTTCATCGAAAAAATTATAAAACCTCAACTTTAATATTATGTTATAGATTTGTTATCGTATTAAAAATCTAATAAAAAAGAATGAATTCATTTACTTTTTAGTACATATAATTTTATACTATACAATAATTTTTTTTACATTTTATATAAAATTGCATTATCAAATTTTAACTTAAAGTAATAGGAAACAATATTTTTTTGGCTAAAGGCATAAGGTATAAAAAGCCCTTTTAACTATAATTAAAAATTATTTAAATTTTTATATTTTTATTACAATTAATCAATCCCTGCAATATTTTATTTATATTTAATTATGTTTTTTTATTAAAATAAAAAAATTAATCTTTTTATCAATTAAGATAAAATTTCATGTGACATCAATAAAATAGATAAAAATTTATCACGTAACATAATTAATTAAGATTCTTCTAAAGGTTTAATTTATTGTAATACAAAAATTCAATGCTACAAGATTAAATTTTGTTTAATTAAGAGTTCAATTATCTCAAAATAAAAGATTAATAGCATGTTTGGTTCATTCCCCTAAATTTTCTTATGGTTCTTCTATTCCATTGTTTGGTTAAATTTTTTAGCAAAAAATAACTATTCCATGTAATATTAATTTCTTGAAAGCAAGGAATACCAGTTCTTTATTTTCTCCTAAGAATTGCAATTCTTTATTCTTTATCCATCAAGAATTGAGAAGAATATTTATGGATAATTTTATCAATGTATATTTAATTAATTTCAATTTTTTCCTTACATATTTAATTAGATAATTAATTAATATTAATTAAATTAAATTACGATAAATTAATAATTAAATAATATTAAATATTATATCTATTAATTAAATACTAGTAAAATATTATTTCATATAAATATTTTAAAATATTATTTAATATATAAATAATATTATTATAATATTAATAAAACAATATTTAATATTACAAATTTAAAAAACTATTTAATTAATATTAAATATTTAAATAATATAAAATAATAATAAACTATGATAACATTAGTTAAATAATACTAAAATATTATTAGATTTATATTAAAATAATAAAATACTATTAGAATAATATGTAATATTCAAAGATTATTAAAATATATTAAATATTAAATTAATATTAAATATTGAAATATTACTAAATTAATATTTGGTATAAAAGATTATTAGAATAATATTAAATATTATAATATTATTTAAATAAAATTAGTATTAAAATATTAAGAAAATATTAATTTAATATTTAATATCAAAATAAAATTAAAAATATTAAAAAATTAAAAAAATTAATATTTAATATAAAAAATTATTTAAATAATATTAATTTTAATTTCATAATATAAAAATATTATTAAAATTAATATTTTGTATAAAATATTATTAAAATGTTTAATATAATATAATTAATAATTGATATTATTAAATTGAATATTTAATATGATTAAATTAATATTTAATATTGTTCAAAAATATTTAATATTTTTAAATAAGAATTTAACAATATTAAATTAATGTTAAATATTATTAAATTGATATAGAATATTTTTATATCAATATAAAATATTATTAATTAATATTTAATTTTATGAAATTAATAGTAATTAAATTATTAATATTTAATAAAATTTAATTATTATATTAAATTATTATTAATATTTTATTTGTTTTAATATTTAATAATTTTGATAATAAATTATAAGGATAAAATGATCTTTTAAACTAATTATCCATATTTTTTGAATTAACAAAATATATTAATACTAATTTTTCTCGTATTCCATTTAAATGAATCAAATTTTATAATACATATTTTATTCTGTTCCTTCTATTTTTTATTATCACATAATATCAATTCCATTCGTATTCTATTATGTTTTACGAATCAAATGTGTCATAAAATATTAAAAATTTAAATTATTTTTAATTGTAATTTAAATATATTTTTTACTCTTTAGCTTTTTTTTTTATGACGAAGTAATTGAAGTTAAAAATTCATCAAATTTGAACGAATTTAAACCCACTCAAATTGAATTTGAGATTATTCAAATTTAAAATGATTTAAATAAAAATTTTTTATCTAAATTAAATATAATATTTTTAAATACAAATAATATTAAAAAAAGTTAAAAGTGATATAATTTAAAATTTTAATAAAATATTGATTATAAATTAAACAAAAAATATAATTTATATTTAACGTATTAATATAAATTATAATATAATAATTTTATATTTTATATATATTTAATAAAAATAAATATAAATATATAAATTATCAAATTTAATATAAAACTATTAATGAATTTTCAAATAGTTATTGTATTTTCAAAAAAAATTATATATAATTCTTTTATGAAATACTGTATTTAAATTTTAAAAGCAAAAAAGAATTCAAGACGTTAACGTCTTACCCTTACAGTTGGTCTGCAGCACACTCCCTCCAACTATTATTGTCTACCAAACTACTGTAAACATCCATTATCCACGAATCCAAGACCCAAAATCCAATGGCTGATGTAAAAAGAATATGAAACCTCACATGAATTGCAGCTGTGCTAGATCCTTTCTCGTAGCACATTGGGGTACTTCGTCCTACAAAACGCAATAAATTTTCCGAATTCCGAGAGTCAAATTTAGACGGAAACCGCAAAGGCCATTTTTTTTTTTTAACGAATAACAGTCAAAAGCTACATTTCCAATTTCCGATTCTCAAAGTTTTTCATTCCTAAAAGCTTTTTGTTTTAATTCTTTTTAATTCTTAATTTGTTTTGAGATTACTTTAAGGGCTGGACCTTTGGTTGTGGAGTGATCTGGGTGGAAGGTTAGGGTTTGTTTCAACAGGTCAATCGGTTTTGAAATTGATCGATCATGTTATCGAATCATTTTCAAAACGGAATGGACACGGCGAGGCTTGTTTGGTCTCGGCTTCCACATTCAGAAGAAGGTGAGCTTGACGGAGTTGGACTCTTGAGTGCTGTAAATAATAGGAACGGCGTCGAGAGTCTTGATTATGAAGTTATCGAAAATTACGCTTATCGAGAAGAACAGGTGATCTTTATTATAAAAAAAATTAAAGTTCAAATTTCAGTTTTAAGTTATCGAAAATCATTTTTGTCTTTTGGAATTTAATAATTTAGGCACAGAGAGGAAAGCTTTATGTTGGATACAACGTGGCGGTGAAATGGTTCTTTGCTTTACTCATCGGCATTGGTAAGTTGTTTTTTTTTTTTTTTTTTTTTTTTTTTTCTAGGGTTCGGGATTCTGCTTAGATATTGTAATTTTGCATATATAAAAAAAAATGCTGATTTCTCATTTTTGAGATTGTGTTTGAAGTGATGTTTTCAAGTTGGGGGATGGATTGATAGTTGTTTTAGCATCATTTATTTTCTGAATCTCTTTAACTGTTACTAGCTTAGAAAGAGAAAAAAGTTCAGCATCATATTGGTTGCTTAAGATTATTTGAGAAATAGATTTTCAATAGTGTGTTGTACTCTGAGTGATGAATAAAGATGTGTTGTACTCTTAAGTTGCGTAATTATGACGTTAATAAAGATGTAGAGGTTATTTGACGAATCATTACTTGACCTGGATTAAATTACGAATTTGTATACTGCTCTGCTTTTAATTAATTCTTTTTATTATAGGCAGTGAACTTCTACATCCTTTTTGCATTTTTTTTTTAATTTTTGGTATTTGGTAGTTTGGATGATTTTTTTTCTTTTAATTGCTTTCAGGAACTGGATTAGCCGCTGTATTTATCAATATTTCTGTCGAAAACTTTGCTGGATGGAAGTTTGCATTGACTTTTAACATAATACAAAAGTCATATCTGGCTGGTTGTCTAATTTACATCTTAATCAACTTGGCTTTAGTCTTTTCTTCTGTATATATCATTACCCAATTTGCACCAGCAGCAGCAGGATCTGGTATTCCTGAAATCAAGGGTTATTTGAATGGTAAGTTTTAGTTTTTCAATCCATTTTTGTTACTATACATTAGTGAGCCATGATTAGCGTTGCATAAGCTGACGATCTGATTTTTAACTTAATCCTCAGGGATTGATATTCCTGGTATCCTTCTTTTCAGAACCTTGATTGGAAAGGTATGGTAATCTTGCCAGCATGATGTTGTAACTGAAATTAATCATAAACCAATGGTCACCTTATCTTTCACAGTTTTTTTTTTTTTTTCTTTTAATAGAAAATTTATGAGGAAGTGATATTTTAAAATTCTTATGAATTCAGATTGGGGTTTTTGAGGTTTATCAATCCACACCCACACCCACACCTTTTAATCTGTATCTAGATCTGTTTCAGTTGCATTCTTCTCATTGTAATTTACAGATATTTGGAAGTATTGGTTCAGTTGGAGGTGGTTTAGCTCTGGGAAAAGAAGGTCCACTTGTCCATACTGGGGCTTGTATTGCTTCTTTGCTTGGACAAGTAAGCACGTAGTCTTAGAAGCATGCTAATGTCAGGATATGAGTTTCACCATAATTTGCTCTAAACTGTCACAAATAAGACTGCAATTATTTGTTGGTTGCAGTCTTGGAATGTGATAGTAGTGTATTTTAACATCCGTATCTATGTTCTTCTGCCTTGAAAGTTTAACATTCTTGCTGTTGTATGTCTTAACTTCTCTTCAGAACTTGCCATGCATACTAAATTTTCATTTCATGTTATGTGTTGATTCAGGGTGGATCCACAAAATATCATCTAAGTTCCAGGTGGCTTCAAGGTTTCAAGAGTGATCGGGATCGTCGTGATCTTGTGAGTATAAAAATGCCTTCTTGATGTATAGTTCTGGAAAGGATATATGTGAGAATGCCATCATTGATTTTCTCCTATGGCATGTATAGCTGTTAAAAGTTGAATCCTCCTAGGGTACAGTTTTACTCCCTGAGTTGCAATCATTTTTATGGTTGTATGTTTTCATTATCTTATCTTGTGATTCCTATTGATATTGGTTGCTTTAATTGGAACTTATATATATATATTTGGTCATGGTGTATCATTTTTCCCATGGAGGTGATACCTCTAAATTTTTTGCTCATTTTATTTATTTATCTAATCTTTTGAAAAGGTAACCTGTGGCTGTGCAGCTGGAGTTGCTGCTGCTTTTAGAGCTCCAGTTGGGGGTGTATTATTTGCACTAGAAGAGGTTACATCTTGGTAAAGAATGTTCTCAACAACTTCTAAGTATTTGCACAAGCATGTTTATGTTTTAGACTAAACTGTCATATTTTTAATTAATTTTCCTGTATTTCCATATTTATCTTAAGTTGTGCAATTATACTTTTGTTGTCTTTCATGTGTAAGCACATATGGATTTGTAAGCATATAGATATTCAACTCTAACCTTCATATTCTTTTGAACTTTGCCTTTTGAAGGTGGAGGAGTCAACTAATGTGGCGTGTCTTTTTCACTTCTGCAATTGTGGCTGTTGTGGTGCGGGCTGCAATGGGATGGTGTAAAAGTGGAAACTGTGGACATTTTGGCTCTGGTGGCTTCATAATATGGGATATATCAGAGTTAGGATCTGAACTTCCTTAAGCTGTTGTATATTTATATTTTCCATTCTTAAACTTTTTGCTTGGCTTTAGACTAATTGCTTCCAACTTTTTTTCCCCTTTCTTCCTTTGCAGTGGTCAAGAGGACTACTCTTTTAAGGAATTATTGCCGATGGCAGTTATAGGAGTCATTGGAGGTTTACTAGGTGGAGCTTTTTCATTGGGTTTAACATCTGTTCTTATAATCTTTGATGTAGGACAAGTAGGGAAAGTAGGGAGAAGAGATAGAGTATGGAGATTTAGAGAAAAAAAAAAAAGAAAAGAACAATTAGGAAAGAGAAGAGGATATTGGGGGGAGAAACAGAAGAACTAGGGAGAAAACCAGAAAAGAATCAATAGAGGGAAAAAAATCACAGTACTTGATATCTTATATTCTTAAGCATTCATCATCCAAAACCTCCTTAAAATTAAAATAACTAATAAAATGAAAACTACCAAATATAACCCTAATTAAAAATAACCCTAATAAAATAAAAAGCCTAGACATTTCTCCATCATTCTTCTTTTTGTTTTTAATTCATGTTGTTTATGTTACAGTATCGTTTTTATTAACATTTATTGATTTTTATATTGAGCCCAGGAGCTTTGTTTAACCAACTTACTATTTATGTAACTCGCTGGCGACGAAATTATTTGCACAAGAAAGGGAATCGAGTCAAGGTGAGAAGTCTAGTAACTGTAGAAACTGCTTGGGTTGTTAATGAGCATATCTAATATTTTAACCACCCCTTCCCTCACTGGTTGTGCGAAAAAAAATTTTTGCAGGTATATGAAGCATGCCTCATCTCCGTGATAACATCAGTTATATCTTTTGGACTACCACTTCTGAGAAAATGCAGTCCATGCCCTGACTCGGATCCTGACTCTGAAATTGAATGTCCAAGGGTTCCTGGAATGTATGGGAATTATGTAAATGTAAGATATGCTCATATAGTTACCTACTGTTTGGATCAACTTGACGTGCTTGATATCCAATTTTTTCATTACTGTATCAGTCATGATTCAGTTTCCTTTTGGTAAATGCTTTTTCTGTCCATTTTAAATCTATTTTACTATAATGATTGTGGTTTTTGTCTGCTATTATATCAGCTAAACATTACTAGAAGTTTACTGAATGATACAGGAAATGCATCCTGTCATACTTTAAGGTTACTTTCTTGTTACTATTGAACCTCACACAAACTTTTCAACATGCGCTCGATTTTGATTGAAGAATATCTCAACTTTCCTATTTTCTAACGTTGGTGTAGTTTTTCTTGTTTTAAAATATTTTTGCCTTTTGATTGAATTTATCTCGAGAGCCATCATGGTCATGTAAATATAATATATATATATAAAGTCTCAGATGAATAGTTATTTTGGAGAGAGAGAAAACCTTTTGTTCTTTAATTTGTCATTTTCTTGAAGTTTTGATTGCTTTACATCGTGGTTATTTCTCCTCAATCTGATTTAATGTGATCTGCAGTTCTACTGCAGTAAGGACAAGGAATACAATGATCTTGCGACTATCTTCTTCAATACCCAGGTTTCTCGAATCTTTTGATATACATCCTTTCGTTTGAAATGCTAGTTGCCTTGCTAGTTTCTAATTTAACAGGTTTATATTTTTCCAGGATGATGCCATTAGAAATTTGTTTAGTGCAAGAACAATTCATGAGTTCAGTGCCCAAAGCTTGTTGACATTTTTGGTAGAGCTCTTTGAATTTGTTGACTCCCTTACAAGTATACTGATAATGTATCTTTATCTAGTGCTCTTTATATGGTTATGTATGACATTGTAAGGTTAAATGTGTTGAATGTATCCCATTAGTATGATGGGGATGTCTTGGTTTTATTTTTGTTACAGTAAGAACTCTAAGCCAACTCTGTTCCTATCTTAGAAAGGAAATTTAATGTAAAGTGTGGATTGGGGGGGCGCAGAACTTATTAGAAGGAAAACATCTTCCATTTCTCTGCAGAGGCTAGATAAAGAGTATGTCATCATAGGAGATAAAGAGTGAAATAGAGGCAAGCAGAATCTATTTAAAGTATTTGAGACCAGAAGGTATAATATGATCAACTTCGAGGTTATTGCAGTCTGTTTGGGTGAGACAACCTGCCTTTGTTATCTCATATTGAAGAGAAAATTTCTAAATCTCTAAGATATTAATGTTTTCTTCACCATGTTGCAGTTATTGAGCACCTTTTTTTTTTTCAAAAATAAAAAAGGCATAAGAAGTTATCGGAAAGAGTGAAGAAAGAGAGTGGAAACTGTTGTAGAAAATGGATATTTAAGAATATGTTGTAATTGTCATATTATATCCTCCAAATATTTTTTTGTATGGGTTACAATTTAAACAATTGTGGGCTTTTAGGAAATGAACTTACGAAATTTCATAGTTGAGAACTTCTAGGAGGTTTGTTCAATGGTATTATTGACTATTTTTTAACTATTTACATGTGCATCTGAAGTCATTGGCCAATACTTTTATCCCTGAAATTATTTCATGGTCTGAATTTCTTTTTTTTTTTTTTTCAAATGAATTATTTCAGGTTATGTTCTATGCCTTAGCAGTAGTTACATTTGGTACTGCTGTTCCTGCTGGTCAATTTGTTCCTGGAATAATGATAGGATCAACATATGGCCGTCTTGTTGGTATTTTTACTGTTAACCACTACAAGAAGCTCAACATTGAAGAGGGAACGTAAGCATATTGTGGTTTTTTTTTTTCACTTCTATGGAATTTGAATAATCATATCTATATACCTAGCTATTACAATTTTACTCATTTTTATGTTTTATCAAAATTGATTTGAACTTGGTTCCAACCATCTCCTCCAAACTAAGCAAATGATGATTCATGAGCACTATGAATTAATTTGATGTTTTTTACTCATAATGCACCGAAGAAATAGAACAGAAGTTTCCTATAAATGCTGTAATTAATCAATTTATATCTATACATATATATATATATATATATATTAAGTTCTGCAATAACCTCTGCTCATGATATGATCTGTTTTTGCTGTAAATGGTATCATGTTTCTCAATTGCCTTTGTATCTTATGTTTCGTGATACATAAGAGTCTCACCTTTGTTGTTTTATACCACACAATTTCATTGCTCGAATGCTCTATAATTTGGTGTATTCACAGATATGCACTTTTGGGAGCTGCTTCTTTTCTCGGGGGTTCCATGCGGATGACAGTGTCTCTATGTGTCATTATGGTTGAAATCACAAATAACTTGAAACTTTTACCTCTTATTATGCTTGTTCTTCTCATATCGAAGGTATGTATTTTATTTTCAATAGCTTTATCCAATTCTTGACTGATGTGCTTCAAAAAGTCCGTGCTCGTTTTCCCTCTCAGGCTGTTGGTGATGCTTTTAATGAAGGCTTATATGAAGAACAAGCACGATTGAGGGGCATTCCATTGCTGGAATCAAGACCCAAGTATAAGATGCGGAAAATGACTGCCAGAGATGCCTGTGGAAACCAGAAAGTTAGTTGATTCATCCTTTTAAATGATGTTTTACTGGCAAAGATACCGTGGTTTTGTGGTGTTCATATAAAAATCATCACTGATGTAGATATGAGCTGAGAATCATGTGAATAGTATGTGCTTAAAACAAAATACATCTGTGACCTGGCCCCTATGCTTTGACTCCTAAGCTGCTAGTTTTTCTACCTGTGTAGGTTCTCTCACTTCCTCGGGTTGTAAAGGTTGCAGATGTGGTTTCTATTTTACGAAGCAACAAACATAATGGTTTTCCTGTAAGCTTAGCTTTCACATTGCTTGTTTCTCTACTTTAGTGTTAGCAATTTTGAAAATGAGTTTAATTATTCCCCTTTCCTAGGTGATTGATCACACGAGAAATGGAGAAACACTTGTTATTGGACTTATGCTTCGAAGGTACAACAAAATAACTTACTTTCTCTCCTGGATGTTTCGCTCTTTATATTGTAAATCAGAAGCATACTTAAAAGAACTAACTGCTGTACTTTGTTTATAATGCAGTCACCTATTGGTACTTCTTCAATCTAAGATAGATTTCCAGCATAGTCCTTTGCCTTGTGATCCCAGAGGTGGATCCCGAGCAATTAGGTAAGTGGAAATCTGCTGTAAGTCTTAACTTTTTATTGTTTCATTTTGGCTTTTTGTTCAGTTGAGCTTAAGACTAAATGGCTCCCATTGTTTATAGGCACAATTTTAGTGAATTTGCTAAACCTGTTTCAAGTAAAGGAATATCAATAAATGATATTCATCTTAGTTCGAATGATTTAGAAATGTACATAGATCTTGCACCGTTTTCGAATCCCTCGCCATATGTTGTACCTGAAGATATGTCATTAACAAAGGTGATTTTTTCAGTTTTGGTTTTGATAGATTATCATGTTTGTTTGCTGTGGCATATTTATCTTGTATCTTATAAAGAGTTTAATGTTTTTGACGGCATAGGTTTACAATCTTTTCCGCCAACTAGGATTGAGACACATATTTGTTATACCTCGTGCATCTCATGTGATTGGGGTGATCACCAGAAAGGATCTACTGATTGAGGAGGTACTTCTAGCTGCTTCAGCTCTTTTTTTTTCTTAAGATTTTAACTTGACTATAATAATTGATCTTTGATATTTTGCATTGCAGGAAAGTGGGGATTCAGCTATTTTGGAGCTCCAATCAACTAGTGTAAGGTCTCTACGATGCTTTACTTTTGTTTAGTGATTTCTGCCATCATGACACTTTTTCAGAGACCCATATGAATTTTAAGTTAGAAAAGGACTTGTTCTTTAAGCTGAGATGGTTTTAGAACTTTTTAAAACTTCTTAAATGATAACTTGAAATATGCTCTATAACAGGTAGGGAATTGTACTTGAGCTGTCAAACTCTTTGGACGAAATGACTTAAGTAATCACGTATGAAGTTTGGAAATTTTTGTTTGATATAAATCCTGATTGAATGAGATTGCATAAAATATGTTGAAATCATAATCTCAGCTTGACACCTTTCTAGCCTCGCCAAACAGACTTTAATGTTGTATCAGTAACTCTTCAAGTCACAAGTTGGTAGTGTGAACAAATCTCAAGGATGAAAAGTGTAATCTGCCTAATTAAGAATGTACAAGGTGCTATACATGTCTGCATTTTGGGCATAGTAATAGAATTATTCTCCAATTTTGGTTTTAAGGCAATCTGCTCCACCTTTGAAAATGAGCCTTTGAAATTTCTTTCTTCTACATGTAAGAAAAAAGTGTGTAAGATAGGGTTTAACATTTCGCTATGATTCAATGTCTAGTAACAGCTTTAGATTTGGCTTTTTCAATTGGTATAAAGGTGTGCCTGCAATAGATAATAGCTTTTTTTATGCTTGAGGTTGTCAAGATTTGAACTCTAATTACTGAAACAAAGAGTCAAGCATTCTACTAACAATCCACACAGCTGTTGGCGGAGATAGGAGCTTTTGATATATCAAAAATCATACTATTCCTATGTCTAAACCATGTTATCAAATGAGTATTTATATTGTGTTTCATGTTTATGGACATTTAATCTGAAATTAATTGTGTATAGTACTGTATTCCTCACTGTTGAGTCCTATTTGCTCTTATTTTCTTGTCGATTTCAACCCTGTATTATTTCATGTGTTTCAAATTTTCAATCTTTGGGTTTTTTTTTTTTTCCTTTTGAATGGCAGAGCTCAGCAACATGAGAAAAGAATGTTGGTAGGGAATGCAGATGTGGAGCGCCCGCTTCTCAGTGGCCTTTTGATTCAAGATCATACACCTAGTTGATACGGTTCTTTTTGCTTCTACCATTTTCTGAACCTAAAGATCAAATTCTTTGTTCTTCTGCATAAATTTACCCAAATAGGTTAAGACACGATGAACCACGTGAACTGAATTTTTGTATTATATTCTTAGAACTTATTATGTATTTTTGCATTTGTGTTTGATTTATTAAGTGGATCTCTCATTCTCTTCATTTACATTGGATTTTGCAATTTCAAATATCCTCAGTTAAGCTTGATTTTGGAAAATCAGACATTTCAAAAAGGAGATGAGAATATTTCAAGAAAAACCAGAGGTCAGAAAACAGTTTTTAGGTTAAGAAAATCTTTTGTGAGAATTCCAAACATAATCTGCAAACTCTACATGGATGATATCTTTGAAGTTTCAAAAACTCTGTGTGGGAAGAGTTTTTCATGGATGGGATCTCTAAAGTTTTTAAACCTTTGTTTAGGAGGAGTTTTACAAGGATGAGATTTTAAAGATGTGGAACTTCTAATCCATGGTCTCATTACTTGCTTTGTTACATGCCATGTAGTTTAGGCATAGACTAGTTGCCTAGGTGTTTGTTAAAATGCCCTAGTAATTGAAATGGCAGTTTAATTTCATTCATTGCATTTCATATTAGTTTAATGTCATGATTAGCACTTAATTGTCTTAAATATTAGCATGCACTTTAATAACATATATCACATATTTTAATCCTTAATTAGGGAAATGGAATCATTGTTATTTGGCTTGCTTCTAAAGTTCACCCAAATATTGGGGATTGTGAGGTTTAATAATCATTGATCTCCTAACCTTAAAACCTAGAAATCTTAGTCCTTAAACCACGAAATCCAAAACCCTAACCTTGAAACCTTTGTCCCTAAACCACAAAACCTAAAATCCTAATCTTAAACCATAAAACCTTAGTCCCTAAACCCTAATTATGAAACTTTAAATCCACGAAACCCTAACTTAAAACCAGGAAACCCTTAAACCTAACCATAACCCTAAAAACTTAATCTTCAAAGCCTACCCTAGTTGAAACCCTAAACTTAAACCCTAGCTATAACCCTAAACTCAAACCTTAGACCAAACCTTAATTCCCTAAGTCTAAGCCTAAAATCCTAATCCTAAACCACTAAATCTTAAACTTTAATCTTCAAACCCTAAATTTATGGAACCTTAAACTTTAACCTTAACCCTAGCTACTCGAAACCCTAAACTTTTCCTAAATCCCAACCTAAATCTAAATCCAAATCACATTTTTATGCGTTTGCATTTTACTTGTTTAATAATTTGTTATATACATTAACATTTTTAATTGTCATTTACATATCATTTTTAATTGGATTCATGCATTTATATTTGACATTTGCATTATTTAAATTGTTGTATTCATGTGGTTTTTTTTTAAAGGGTTTCATAAAATAAAGACGTTTTAGAAATAAAAGTGAGAAAATATTTTTAAGTAAAAATAATTCTTGAAATTTTACCTAAATATTGGAGTGATTTTCAACAATTATCTTTTATAAATATTAATATCTTTGTTTTAAAGGATTATTATGGAAATCCTAAAATGAAAATGTTTTTGAAAATTTTACCTAGATGTTTAGTCTAAAAAATGTTTGCAACCAAATGTTTCACTTTAGTCCAAAACAAAATAATTTACATATATTAAGAAAATAAAAAAAATTAAAAAAAAAGAGATTTTGTGGGAATCAATGAAATTCAAGGAATTATCTTTAAGTACTAAGGATCATTTTTACTCCCTCCGCCCCTTTTTATTTATTTTTTGAGATGTCTCAAAATTATATTAAATATGTATTTTTGAACATCTAAATTTTTTATTTTTTTATATTTTAAAATTATTTTTTATGATTATTATTATTTTTTACTTCTTGACATTAAAAATCATGAAAGTTTAATTTTATAAAAAAATTTAAAATTTAATATTAAATATATTAAAATCAAAGGTTTTTTTCTTAAATTTCGTAAAATTCAATACATGACAAACGTTTTAGGACGAAAGAGTTATAAAATTCAAAAATAACATATCATTAATTGGTACTATTTTCAAAATGAATGTTGTGGGATGATAATAATTTTTTACGTATAATCGGACTTTCAAACTCCACTTAGGCTTTAAAAACTTTTTTTTTTTTTATAAATCTTAACTAGTTTAGGGTTTTATTAAAAAAACTTTTTAGATGGTGAATCATAATTAATGAAAAATATTAGCTATAACTCTCTGTATTTTGAGAGTTTTTAATTTTTTTCTAAGCGGTCAGGTTAAAACCGCACATTGTGACAGGTACTTCCCTAGTAACTCTATGCTTCATGCTAATCTTGGTTCTAACCCTTCCTTTATATGGCAGTGTTTATCAGAGTGAAGAGCAGTTCTGATTAAAGGATAGAGGTGGAGGATAGGGGATGGCTCTCATATTTGATATTTGGGTTGATAGATGGTTGAATAAACCACCTCTTTTTAGATCCTCTTACCCTGTTAGGTTTGTTGATAATTATATGAAAGTAGAGGGTTTGATTATACGGAAGAGTAGAACCTGGAATATACAACTAATGCATGACCTTTTTGAGGCTACCTGAAGATGTGGAACTTATCTCTGCTATGCTTTTGAATCCAAAGGTCTTTCCTAACCTGATAGGTTGATTTAGATTGAAACTCTGAATTCAGCCTATTATGTTGCAAGGAAGGTTCTTGGGAAGGAAGGTGTCCCTTCGGAATATTATCGTCTCCCATTTGGAGATTGATGTGGTCAGCCAATAAGGCATTGCCTAAGGTCAAGTTTTTCATGTATAGATTAATTTGGGATAGTCTGCCAACAAAATATGCCTTTAGAAATAAGTGCATTCAGGTTGATGATATTTGTTGCAACTGTAGCAGATTAGATGAGTCATTGTTTCAATATTTTTCCATTGAGATTTTACTTCTGTGGTGTGGCGTTATGCATGTGAGTCGTTTTGCCTTTGGTTGCAACATGGTCCTCATCCATATAATTTTGAGTTAGACTTGTGATTAAAGCTAAGCAGGAGGACGTGTTTGAGCAAGTGATGTACATTTTATGGCTGCTTTGGAGTAATAGGAACCGCTGCTTACAAGATAATACCGTGGTTTGCCGAATGCAAAAAATTTGTTGGAGGAAATTTTAGCAGTAAGGGATTGTCCTTTTAAATGTGGTGTCCAAATTTCCATATTCTGCTAGTCCTTTTTGTTTTGAAGCTAACTCTTGATTCTGGTTTCCACTTTATCATTGTTGAAAGTGAATTGTCATTGGCAATATCTGAAATTAGTGTAGCTGATGCTTCTTTCTTAGATAGGGCAGGTTTGATCTTAGATATTGTTGATTTAGCTTCCTCCTGCACCACTTGTTCCTTTTTTGTTCACACAAAAGAGTTGCCAACCAACTAGCCATAATTTAGCCTCTGCAATTTGATACGGAAGAGATATTTTCCTAATTTCTTTTGTAATCTAGATGTAATTTGATATTAAAAATATTTTTCCTTTATAAAAAGATATTGATATTAATTTGGAAAAAAAACAAAGAAAATTATTATACATATATCAACGATATAATAGAATTTTCATACAAATAAAAAATTATATTTAATAGTTTTGAAGGAATTTTTAAAATAAAGCAATGCTAAGAGACCTAATAATTTGCTCTAATTGATTTAACTAATGAGGTGGTTATTACTAAAGTGCATTAGTAGTATCCATATAGAAGATTCAGAGGTGGATCTATCTTTAAAATTAATGTATTTATGAACATCTCAAAATTTTAAAAATAAAAAAATTTAAAGAAAATTTTTATTTGAACACCTTCAAAAATTTTTCATGGATTTTCAAAGATTAAAAATAAGAAAATTCTTAAAAAAATTTCTTGGATATCTCAAAAAATTTTCATTAACACATTTTCTATCGACAATTGGTAAATTTATCAGTAATTATATATATATTTATATATATCATGAATAGATATAAAAAAAATCATAAAGCTGTCACTGACAAGATTATTATGGTAAATGGGAATACATTTTATTTGTTAACTTATAATTATAAAGTGTTGTACTATCTTTACGGTACTAAATAATACGACATAAACACGTGTATCTTTAGTTATATTATTTGATTTTTAAGTAATGTTAAACATGACGTACAAATTAAAGTACAAGAAAAAAAAAGTCAGGTTGATAAGAAAAAATTAGGAGATGGCCTGACAGAGTATGAACTGTAAACGTAGCCAAATCAACTTATAATTAGGAAAAGATGTGGATTTGTTTTGTTGAAGTGAATCAGTAACTGTTCAATGTAATCCTATTCTCAATCAAAAACATTTCAAGATAGAAAATAGAGGATCACAAATTTCATTTAACTATCGGGTTTTAGCTCATTTTTCTCGTTTCCAAATCTGAATAAGGTTGGGTCAAGGTTAAAATTAGAAAAATGGTAGGTCAAATAAAGGAAATTGTTATGACAACTTACGGGATTTGAGCTTAAAGGAAAGGCCAATTTTAGATTTCTGTTGCACTCTCAATTCCTGTGTATAACCCATGCAAAACTGTTAAACTAAGATTTAAGAAAACGATTAAATTTTTGTCCTACTTCCTGCCCGTTCTGAGCATTTTGCTATTTTGATTATTGTTGTAAATTTGATTAGTAAAAAAAATAGTACTATAAATATATCAATATCTATATCTGAAAATGCCTGCAGTTGTAGCAAGCGGCTCTGGCGACACTCCAGAATATGAAGGCAGGACTACAATCTATGTCCTTGTCTGTGTGACCATAGCAGCTTTTGGAGGCTTGATGTTCGGATATGACATTGGCATTTCAGGTTTTTTATTTTTTATTTTTTTTATAATAAATATCTTCAATTATATTATTAATTAGTTCCAAGGCAATCTTTTCTTCTTTTTGGGCATAATATTTGCGTTAATGATTTCATTTGGATTGTCAGGCGGAGTAACATCCATGGATGATTTCTTAAAAAAATTCTTCCCAACTGTGTATGAAAGGAAACAACATGCTTATGAAAACAACTACTGCAAGTACAATAACCAGTTCCTCCAGTTGTTCACATCTTCCTTGTACCTTGCAGCCCTGGTAGCTAGTTTTGCAGCTTCAAGGGTTTGCTCAAAGGCTGGTAGGAAACCCACCATGCAGATTGCATCAGTTTTCTTCTTGGCCGGTGTCCTTTTGACTGCTGGAGGTCTCAACATTGAAATGATTATTATTGGAAGAATTCTTCTTGGCTGTGGTGTTGGTTTTGCCAATCAAGTAAGAAACATTTAAATGTCCTTTTTTGTTCTTTTAATTAGAGGCTGTTGGTGATTGAATCTTATCACTCCCCTTTTGAATTGTACTATTAATTCTTTATTATTTCAGGCGGTACCACTTTTCTTGTCCGAGTTAGCTCCAGCTAAGATGCGTGGAGCACTCAACATTAGTTTCCAACTCTTCATTACTATTGGAATTTTCGTAGCCAACATGGTAAACTATTTTTCATCAAAAATCCATCCTAATGGATGGAGAATTTCTCTTGCCATTGCCGGTGTCCCTGCTTTGATGCTCTGCTTGGGATCTCTGCTCATTTGTGAGACGCCAACCAGCCTTATTGAACGTTACAAAGTTGAGAAAGGAAGGAAAGTTCTCAGGAAGATCCGTGGTGTCGAAAATGTGGATGATGAGTATGATTCAATTGTACATGCTTGTGAGATGGCAAGGCAAGTGAAAGACCCTTTCCGCAAACTAATGAAGCCAGAAAGCCGACCACCACTAGTCATTGCCATCTTGTTGCAAGTTTTCCAGCAGTTTACTGGAATCAATGCTATCATGTTCTACGCCCCCGTTCTCTTCCAGACGGTGGGATTTGGGAGTGATGCCGCATTGCTTTCATCTGTTATTACTGGTGTTGTCAATGTGTTTAGTACTGTGGTCTCAGTATATCTAGTAGATAAGGCTGGCAGGAGAATTCTGCTACTTGAAGCTTGTGTTCAGATGTTCATTTCCCAGGTTTCAAATCTCATATATCTCCCTAATCTTCATTTCCATTGAAGTTGCCATTATGATTTTGCCCATCAGTAAGTGAAGTTTCTCTAAAAGTTAGTATTTAATTAATGTGTTGCAGACTATTATTGGTGCAGTCCTGTTGAAAGACTTGAAAACCACGGGTGGTAATCTTGGGAAAGGGGAGGCAATTTTTGTGGTGATCCTCGTGTGTGTCTTTGTCATGGGCTTTGCCTGGTCATGGGGGCCTCTTGGTTGGCTAATTCCTAGCGAGACATTCCCTCTAGAGACTAGAACAGCTGGTTTTGCCTTTGCAGTCAGCTCTAACATGCTCTTCACATTCGTCATTGCTCAAGCTTTCCTCTCAATGCTATGCCATATGCAAGCTGGAATCTTCTTCTTCTTTGCTGTCTGGATTATCATCATGGGAATGTTCACATTTTTCTTGTTGCCAGAGACCAAAGGTGTCCCAGTTGATTCAATGGTTGACAAAGTCTGGAAGCAGCATTGGTTCTGGAGCAGTTTCATGGGTCTTGATGACTACAATACTGAAGTTAAGGTTGTCTGATCATTAGGTTTATCTTAAGTTGCTTCATTGCAAGGGTAGAAATGATCAAAGCACAATAAAATTTCTGATTTTATTTCATTTTTTCTTGAAAAATTTACCGCTAATGGGGCAGTACTATTAGACACAACCCAATAGGTTGATGTCCCTGGCAAGCCAGCCTGAAACCAATTTTTGTTGTTGTTTTGAGCTAACCGCATTCTTTTATCGAAAATAAGGAGAAAATAGAGTCCTTTTTCATTTGGTCTAGCGGCCAAGGAGGTTTTATGAGGATATAGAAATTTTGGTTTCAAGCCAGGATCTCCTCCCCTTTCCTCCCTTTTAAGCGTTGCTTTGAATCCAAAAAAAAAAAAAAAAAAAAAAAAGCAGATAACTTCACTGTTTTTACTTTCTAGAAGAATAAAAAAAATTAAGTAATACGGTACGAATAACATATTTAAAATTAATTTATATTCAAATAACATAATATTAAATAATTATATATAAATAATACGATTAGACATAATTATTACATTTATTTAAATAAAAAATATCATTTAAATTAGTACTTAAATAAAAATAATTTAAAAATTAAATATTTATAATTTATTTAAACATAAAAATAATACGATAAATACGATTATTAATTTATTTCTTATACAAGTTAAAATAATTAAAATTTTTTTAATGTTATAAACGGTATTGTATCTTAAGCGCATTATTACTATTTGATACATACACAACACGAATAATGTCGTGTCTTAATAATATTAACATGATTGAGATAAAAAATATAATTATACTAAATTTATATATAATTTTTTTGTATTATTTTTATATCATATTTTAAAATTATCAATACGAGACTTGTAAACTCGTTGATCATTTTTATAATGTTACATTCACGTTGAAATAAGTAATTTCAAACCTATTGATTTTCCTGTTCTCTTTTAATTAGAAACTATGATAATCTTTTTTCCATTCATTGACTATTTGATACTGAAATATATTTACTTCATAAATTTCATTTAAAAAACACTACTTAAATGTTAATCATCATAACCAACTTAAAAAATATGGAAAATCACATTTAAGCATTTGATTCAATTGAATGTTACATGATTTTTTTTCTTAAAAAATAGGGCTTGAATTCCATTTCCCAAATTAATAGATAAATGGAAACATTTAAATATTTATGGTCAATGTCATAAATAATCTTGAAACTAAAATAAAATATTTAATGTAATACTTGAACTTTTAAAAGTTTTTTATATGGTACATAAATTATAAATTTATTAACCAATGTGATACTTACACCGTGGCTAACTTTATATGATAACACATGATAAATAAACAATCTTTTAAGTATCACATTAGTTAATAAATTTATAATTAATGTATTATGTTAAAAATTTTTAAAATTCAAATATTATATTAAATATTTCTCTATAATTTTGGAATCATTCATAATATTAACCCAAATATTCATAACATTAATTAAAAATATGCTACTAATTTTTTTTTATTTTATGAAAAGTAGAAAATAAATACTTTCCTCTTAAAATATAGGTGAAAGGAAAAACAATTTGACTAAATGTTATTATCTATCATATAGCTCAGTAAACCAAAATGAAAATAACCACAAGAATAGTATTTACCTCTTCATACTACCATAAAAATAATTTTAGACAATGGTTTTCCTCTCATGACTTATCGTTATCCATAGTTATCCTATTAACATGACTCAAAAAGATAAAAGCAAGTTTGATAACTCTTTTAGTAACTAAATCTAAATGGATTCATCCTTAAATGGAAGCAACATATCATTAATGTCTTAATGAATTCCAAACCCCAAATTCTTGCCATTATCACCAACAATGTTATTGTTATATATTGAACTAGCTTATGACCCATGTGATGCATGAATTAATTTATTTATTTAATTTAAAATTATAATTATAAAATGATATTAAATTTTAAATAAATATATGAACAAAATATAAAGGTATTATTCAAAAATATTAAATTCCTTATTTTTTGAAAGTTTTAAGTAAAAATGGATGATCAGTCTCTTCATAAACTATTTTCAAATTTTGTATAATTATCAAATTTAAACTTGAAAATAATGCATTTAAATTTACAAAATGATAGAAAGTCTTGAAAAATAAATACTTTCCTAGGCTTAAGGATATAAATTGGCTAATGCTTAAAGATATAACGAAATACAAATGAATTAAATTATCATTCATAATTAAAAATATATAATTTCATTTTCATTTTAATTATTTTGTCTTTTATATTTAAATATCCATACTTAATGAAAAAAAATCTTATATTAGAAAATTAAAGAAAATAATATTTTTTATTATTTGAACAATTTGATTCAAAAAGTAAAAAAGTTGTTGATACTATAGAAAATTGTCTTCAAAAGTCTTATAAAAAGAAAAAAAAAAACTTTTCGTCTCCATCTCAATGTTAAGTTATTAATATAAGATGATAAAGTTTAGTAGTAAAGTAGATATACTTATCATCTTATAAAGATTAATATTTTCAATAAATAAAAGCAAGTGGTATTATATCATTTCCATAATTTATATTTTTACTTGTACTACAATAGTGTACCCAACTTAATCTTTTCACTCATGCATTTCATGGATACAATATTTAGCAATACAAAACAAACAAAATAACCTCATGTAGGATTATTTTACTGTTACATTGTAAAAATCAAAGGCATCTCAAGTTTTAACATCAAAGCAAACATATATTAATTCCTACTTTTTACAGTAATCTAGTTAAACAAAATGCAGTATTTAAATATTGCCATTATAATTTTTATTGATTTTTACCTAATAAAATTATTGTTCTATTTAATGGGATGCTCGATTTTGAAGTTCCATTTCCCTTAACTTAATATAGGATCTATTATTCCTGAAAGCATATTCTAAAAGAAAGGCCATTATAGTGCAAAAATCCTATAAATTAATGGCAAAACTATAATTATTAATCAAGTAGAATGAAATTGGTAAGAGAACTTTTGTTACATTACTATTTTTTTTTAGAGAGAATATCAAACGTCGACGAAAACCCTTAAAGTTTTGGATTGGGTGTTTTGTAATTAACATACTTTTCAACCGTTAATTAGTTGCTAAGAATCAAAATAATAATTTACCAAAATCAAAAAAGAATATGTACAACTGGTAATGAATGAAAGAGATGAAGATGATATTTTATTTGATACAAGTACGACTAATACCATTACTATGTGCAATTGATGGACTAAATAAGTAATATGAGAAATTCAACACAAGAATATTTCATCGAGGTGGAAGATAGCATCTATTAAACAGTGAAATAAATGATATTTGGTCTTTTAAAATTTATTAGAAAATTTATAAAAATAAATTTATATTTAAAATTTTTAAATTTAAAATAGATATATTTAGATTGTTAAAGATATATTTAAATTATATATATTTAAAAAGAGATCATATATCTAGACTGTTAGAGATAAATCTAAATTATATATATTTTTTAAATTTAAAAATAGATATATAGATGGTTTAATAGTTCATTTTAAAAAAGAAATAACAAAATTATTGATTTTATTCTAAATGTATTTGAAAAAAGTGAGTTTGGGATAAATTATATTTGATTTAAATTAAAATAAAACTCTTGAAATATTAAAATAAATCTAATTTTTAAACTTTCAAATACTTCTTTTAAAAAATAATTATTGAATGAGATTATTTGGTTAAAAATTTAAATTTAATTATTATCTTACATGTAAAAAATATAGGTTATCATTATAAATATCCATGTGCTATATCTTATTAGGTACCTATGTATTTTGTAATATAATATATATATATATATATATATATCTTAGATGAGAAATGGTATCTCCAAATTCTTACCATTATTAATTACATTGTTATCTAGTCAATTTTAAACACAATACGAAAAAAATATAAAAACCACACAATTTAAAATTTTAGCAAAAATCATATATGAATTTAATAAAAAAATATAAATTTTATATTTGACATATTAAAATAAATTGTAACATGATAATTTTCATTTTTCATACATATTAAATATGAAATAAATAAACATATATACACGAATTATTAAATCTACCTACAAATTTCATAGTCCAAAATCAATTCAATTGTGCCATGAACATAATTCTAATTGCTTAATTTCTAGCAAACCATTTTTTTCTTTGCGTTTTAGTATTCAGATTTTTTGAGGTTTTTGGTTGACAAGTCGAAGAAGGTAAAAAGATGAGTGCACAAAATGACTACCCATTAAAAAGCACTCTTTATTTTGTATGATGTTGGATTTTTGCAACTTTTAGGAGATTTATGATTGGTTGCAACAATGGAAGTTTTGGTTTATCACATTTTTCTATTATGTATCTAATTTGCAATCTCATGAGTTGCTTACTTTTCTTTATAACTTTTAAAAAAATTATTAAAAGATAAAGTTACTTGTGGAGAAATATCATTTATGTTTTCATGATGAGATAGAGAAATAAGTGTGGAAGGTTCGTGTATGAAAAATTGGTAGTGTTGGATATATAATGGATAGAGCTAGCCATGATTTTTCTTATTCTCAGTTTTATAACATGCTGATGATGGAATTGTATTTGTGGCTTGTAGTTAACCTAATACTGTTACTTTTATTCTATTTTTTATTTTTATATAAGAAAAACATATTATGATAGTTTAAACCCAATAAGGTTACTCGAAGAGGAGTTCATTGACAAGAGAATTATTGAGAAGCTATTGGTTTGTTTCTCCAAAAAGTTTGAGTAAAATATCTTGCTAGGAGCATTTTATAGTCAAAAGGGTATAATATTTTTTTTTTCATAAAAAAAGTGACTCAATATCGGCCTAGGGTCATTTTAGTTATTTGATCCAAGCTGACAGGATAAGCTAACCATATTCCTTGAAATCCACATCAGCTCAATTAACTTCACATCATACTCGACAATATGCAAATATGCGACTTGTCATCTTTCTATTATGTGTCCCTTTGCCATATTAGGTGGGGTCGACTCTGCCAACCTTAAACCCAACTCCAAAAATCGAATCACTGAGATTCGAACACCTCCATTCTCAAGTATAAATACCCTTCTCCTTTTAGGTATGGGTAATTAATTTTTCTACTCTTTCTCTAGATTCCCCCCCCCCCTTTTTTTTCGAACACTAATTTGAGCATCAAAACACAAACATTAGAACCACTTTAGCCTTTGTTCTTGAACGATCTCTAATCTCCATT